TACTTTTTTAAAAATTTTTTTGAGACAGGCTCTCGCTAAGTTGCCCAGGTCAACCTAGAATTTGTGATCCTCCTGCTTCGGCCTCCCAAGTAGCTGGGATTATAGGTATTCACCATAGCACCCAGCTTCATCCCTTCATTATTTATTTATTTATTTCTATCCCCCACCCCCTAACCAGGGATTGAACCTAGGGGCAATTAACCCCTGAGCCACACCCCCAGCCCCCTTATCTAGCTGTACCTGTATATCTAATGTAGGGGTTCCTGTCCTATAGATGAATTTTGTTTTTTTATTCACTGACACTCTTTTAATTTATATGTTTAAACCATTTGTATTTAAATTGATCATTCATATAATTAGATTAATGTCTACTCTATTTGTGACTGTGTTCATGTTAGTTATTCTTTATTTATTTTTGAAATCTTCTCTCATTGTTATGCCTACTCTGGTTTTTTAAAAAATATTTTTATTAGTTGTTCATGAATCTTTATTTTATTTACTTATTTATATGTGGTACTGAAGATCAAACCCAGTGCTTTGCACATGCTAGACAAACGCTATACCACTGAGTCACAACCCCAGCCCCCTACTCTGGTTTTAATTGAGCCTTTTATATGGTTTCACCTTCTTTCAGCAAATCAACTGGACTTGGAAAAAAAAAAGAATTCTAGAGCTTGGGATGTAACCCAGCAGTAGAATACTTGCCTGGCATGTGCAAAACCCTGGTTTCAAGTCCCAGTATACATTTTTAAAAATTCGAGTATTTTCCCTAAAGTTTGCAATATATACTTACAACTAATCTAAGTCCACTTTCAAATAACATTGTACTGTTTCTTGGGTAGTGCAGGACACTTAAAAAAGCAATCTCTCCCTCCCACCTCTTAACCACTCATTCCATTCATATTACCTATCCATGTGCATAATCTCTAATATGTTGTTACTATTATTATTTTGAACAAATGCTTTTCTGTTATTCCTTCTATGATGCTATTTCTTTATTTGTATACAGTTGAGTATCTGGTCTATATAATTTTCCTTTTTTTGAAGAAGCTCTTTTAACATTTCTTGCAAAGGAGGTCTACTGACAACAAATTCAGTTTTTGTTTGAGAAAGTCATTTTCTCTCCTTTGCTTTAGAAGGACAATTTCACTGGATAAAAAAATCTAGGTAGTGGAATTTTTCCCCCTTTTAATTCTGTAAATATTTTATTCCACTATCTTTTTGCTCACATGGTTCCTCCATAGAGGTAGAGATTTTCCCCTCCAACTTTTACAGTCTTTCTCTTTCTTCTGGTTTTTTTTTCCTACTTGAATATGATATGCCTAGCTTGTTGATATTTATCCTGCATGATGTTCTCTGATCTTCCTTAAAGATTTGCGATTTAGTTTCTTTCTTTAATTTTGGAAAATCTTTAAAAATTTTTTTGTAGTTATAGATGGTCAGCATGCCCTTATTTATTTATTTATTTATTTATTTTTATGTAGTACTAAGCATCAAACCCAGTGCCTCACGTGTGCTAGGCAAGCACTCTGACACTGAGTTATAGCCTCAGCCCTAATTTTGGAAAATCTTAAGCCAGTATTACTTCAAATACTTCTTCTGTTCCTTTCTCTTTTTCTTCTCCCTCTGATATTCCTATTATGTGTATGTTTTGCCTTTGTAGTTGTTCTATACAGTCTTTGTATATTTTGTTTCATTTTTTCCCCCATCTTTTCCCCCTTTCTTTTTGGGTTTGGGAAATTTCTATGGACATAGCTTCAAGATCACTGATTCTTTTCTTGGCCATACCAAGTCTGCTAATAAATCTATTGAAGGCATCAGTCATTTCTGTTATAGTATTTTTGAGCACTTATTTTGTATTCTTTCTTAGAGTGTTATCGGCTTAGATTATACACCTACTTTTGCATATTTTCCACTGTTCTCATTAGAACTCCAAGCATATTCATCATAGTTATTTTTAAATTTCTGTTCTGATAATTCAAAAAAAAAAAAAAGAAAACAAAACAAAGTGTAAAGTTCTGATAATTGAAGAAGAAGAGGAGGAGGAGGAATATGAAGAGGGGAGGAGGAGGAGGGAGAAGAATAAAGGAAAACAAATGAAGTGTAACATCCAAAAGAAGAAAGTAGCATCAGTATTCAGAATGTAAGTGATTCAAGTTAGAGCCTTAATACCAGAAAATTAAAAGTCAAAGATATTGTTTGTCCCAATATGAATTACTATGAGGTAAGTAAGCCTTTGGTGTGAGGTTTTATGTTTCTCTAGTAAGTGATTAGGCAATGTTTACTATTTGCTATAGTAGTGTCAGAGATTTTCCGTTTCCTCTTGTGTCCTTGTTATTGTACCTCTGTTGTTTTTAGGTTTCCCTAGAAACTCCTTCTTAGGGTCTGAGCTTTGCAATTCTTTCAGTTATGAGCCACTGCTATTATACAGAAGCCCTGCTGAAGTGGTGGCGACTTATGGGAGGAAGCAAAGAATTGTATAATCCTATGATTAGGTCCCACCCTTTTAGCAAGCCAGTATCCATGTGCTGTGTCTTTCAAGTGTGTTTTTTCCCAACTTAGTTGAGGCAGAAAACTGAGTTGGGTACTTTCTCTTCCACAAAGTTGGATTAGGCTCTGGCAAAGTCTCCCCCCACCCCATGGGTAGATCTTTATTGTGGATAACACTCTGGGCATATTTCAAAACATTTCCCCTCCTGAACAAACATGAGAGAAATTTTTGCTGATCTTCACTGAAAGATGGTTGTAGGACTTGTGGAGGTAAGAGTCATGAAATTGTGAGGGCTTCTTAGACTAGGCCCTGGGAATCTCTAACTCTCAAATTAGTCCACACTCAGCCCTCATTGATTTGTTGAAATTACCATTTCAGTGTTGGTACCAGTTACTTGCTTTATCAGGTTTGGATTTAGATAAGCTGACCTGTATTCTCTATATTTGCTTTCCAATTACTGGGATGGTATTTTGCTCCTGTGGCCTCAGTTCTTTTTTGCATTAAAGAAAAATGATTGATTGTTCAGCTTGTTCAGCTATTTTGTGTGAGTGGGAGTGACAACTTTGAAGCTCTTTACATGTCAAAGTGAAAACTGGAAATCTCTGTGGTCATTTTTGTTTGTTACTACTATATTTTAGAAATTTCTCATAGTTTAGCTTCAGGATGGACCTGTTTTTTTTTTATTTGTCATAGATTGGTTGCTTAATTCTACAATAGTATCAAAATGACAAACTCTCTTCCATCCTTTTACCTCCCCAGTACAGTGTGACTTCATATGTGTATATCACCAGGGATTGAACCCAGGGTCCTATGCCTGATAAGCAGGTGCTAAACCACTGGTCTATACCCTACACTACATTTTCTTAAGCTGCACTACATTTTCTTAAGCAAGCTGTAATTCTAGAACACCAGTATTTTGAGGTAAATAGTTCCAGTCTAAGAGCTTAGCATGCTTGGGAGTTTCAAGTTCCTGTTCTTTACCACTGAGGCCAGGAACAGAAATGAGAAGCAATACGTGCATCAGAAAAGCCTCTACCCAAGAGTCTGCTACCCTCAGTAATCTCTGGCTAGTTTTTACCTACTCTGTGGCCATAGGCCTCCCACCTCTCTGGACTTACTGTCCTCATCTGTAACATGGAAATGAAAATCTTTTCTCTACTGGTTTGGCAAGGTATTTGAGAGGATAGGATGGGATCATGTATGGGAACATGCTTATGAAAATTGTAATCATGGGACTATACACATGAAGAATATGCATACTAAAGAACCCAGAGGACATGGCTATTGGGGGAATGTTTTACTCTCTGCCCCACATCTAACTTGTCCCACTTTTTCCTGACTCCTATCATAATCATCAGAGCATGACTGTTTAGTTGGTGAACTGTGGGGAGAGGTTATTCCTCCCTTAACCCCAAATTCTCCTTCCTGGCTCTGCAGGATCTCTTTTCCCATGGTGAATATCTTGCAGACTTTGGCTCAGGACACATGCCAAGCTCTCCTAGGAACTCTACACTGCATTCCTCTTGATCCATCAACAGCCCCAGAGAGGTCCTACATATTCTGCAGCTCAGCAAGCGTCCAGCTGGAAGCAAGGTTAATGCCTCCTTCCAAGTAGGGCTGGGATAATGGTAGGAGCACGAGGCCTACCAGGTTGCCCCTTCCTAAGATCTGTACTCTATAGAATACAGGTGCTCCTCAACTTACAGTGAGTTGCATCTAGATAAACCGATTATAAACTGAAAATATCATAAGCTGAAAATGCACTTAATACATTGAACCTTCTGAGCAGTTAGCATCCTGGCTGAGTGAGGAAGTATCAATGGTTTCCCATCAAGATCTCCTAGTTGACTGGCAGTGCAGCTCACTGCCACTGCCCAGCAACATGACAGAATATTGTTCAGCATATTGCTAGCCCAAGGAAAAGATCAAAATTTAAAATTTAAAGCACAGTTTCTACTGAATGTATCTGCTTTTGCACAATAGTAAAATCAAAAAATCACATCAAAATGTTGTTAAATCAGAAACCATCTGTCTGTGCTGAAAGCTTAGGGCCACTGAGTCGGCAATTCTGCAACAACAAAAACACCCTTTCAATACCTCTTGCAATGCTTTTAATTAAGCTGCCATTTTCAGAATCTACTAAATGTTGCTATTTAACACTAATCATAGTTTGTAAATCTGGTAAAATTAGGTAAATTTATGCTGATGAAGCTGTGACCTAATTCATGCAGGCAGAGTGCCAGTTTCCTATCTCCTGCCCAATCACATGGTCACTTTAACACATGGTGAAGGTTGGTCCTACCTGCTTCGAGGAGACACTGGTGAGTCAAGGAAAAAGACCAGCTCTCCAGAGTGTCTAACTGGAAATGCTGTTATGACCAGGAATTCTCAGGAGAATTCCTGGCACATGTTGAGCCCACACTCTATCTCTGAGCTCTATCCCGAGCCTGACACCAAGGAATTCTCAGAGTTTCCTAGGATTTGCATCATGTTTTCAAAGTGTCTTTACCTTGATCCGGACATCTCCTGTAGTACATGGGGTCCAGTTTTCCTGCCCCAGCCTTCTCTTCTTCCACCTTCATGACTATAAAGTAAAAGATGAACAAAACCTCAAAAATGTATGCAACAAAAAAGGCCAGGATTTCAAGGACAAGTTGTCAGATCCTGTACTCAGAGTGGGAGACCTTAATGCACGTGAAAAAAACTAAAGCAAAAGAAGATTCTCAAATTTACATATATAGGTATGTGTATAAATATACATATATATGTATATATGTGTGCATTTCCAACAAATAGAACATATCTTTTTTTCAAGTAAAAATGGAGCATTTACAAAGAGAGCACACATAGCAGGCCACAAAAAGCCTCAGTATTTCTATTGTGTGTTACTAAAAATAATTTCTAGTCATGATTTGATAGAAAATCGCAATGGAAATTATTAAATATTTGGAACGCAACAGTTTCAACTACTATATATTTAAATGTATGGAATGCAGCACACTTAGAAGGAATTAGAAAGAAGGAGAAAAGGGGGGAGGGAGGGAGAAGGAAAGAAGGGAAGTAAATAAATGTGATAAGCATTCAACTAAAGAAGCCAAAAGAACAAGAACTAAAACCCAAAGAAAAGAAAGTAGAAGAATATAAATATAAAAGATAAAAGCAGAAAACAGAAAACAAGTATAAAGATGATTAACGAATCCAAGGGCAATTATTTGGAAAGGTTATTTATAAGGCACGCTACACAAGATGATTCCAGAATAAAAGAGAATATTCACAAGGTAACAACATAAGGAATGAAAAAAAGGACATAACTAAAAATAGAGTAGAGAATTCAAGGATTATAAGAGAATTCTATGAAAAAAATTCATGCAAATGGACTTTAAAACTTAGATAAAATAGCTGCCATTACTGTGACAGGCTCTATTTTAAATGCTTTGTGTGTACTACTTAACTGAATTTTCTCAACAACAACTAAGAGATAAATAACATTACCACTTTGCTCTCTTTTTATGGTCTTAGAAATCAAATCCGGGGCCTCACACACGCTAAGCAAGTACTCTACCATTGAATTATAACCCTATTCTGATTATTTCTATTTTATTGATGAGCAAACTGAGGAAAACAGAGCTTAAATTAATGTCCAGATGGAGAAATAGGTTCAAACCCATATAGTTTATTTCTGGAACTATATCTTTTAGTCATAAGGTTAATAAAAGATACTTTACTATAAAAATAACTGAAATTTCAAAATTGACTTAAAAAGAATTAGAAAACCTGAATCAACAATAACTATTAATAATAGATTCAAAAGGGTCATCATTGGTTTTTCTACTTTTGTAGAAAAATAAATAAATACCAGGAACACATTAAAAAAAAAAAAACCTTTATCTGAACTTTCAGGGATTAGATAGCTTCTACTTATGCAAAATGTTTCTTAAAAATAGAAAAAGAGGAAATCAGAGGCAGTAGTTACAACTGAAGACCAGGATGTACAGTGGTGCTGAAGACAGGGGAATTGCTTTGAGAATCTTCCTAAAAAGTCAGTTAAATCTTCAGATCTCAGCCAAGTGTGGTGAGCCCACCTAAAATCCCAAAAACTCAGGAGGCTGAGGCAGGAGGATCCCAAGTTTGAGGCCAGCCTTAGCAATTTAGCAAAATAATAATAATAATAATATATATATATATATATATATATATATATATATATATATATATATATATATATATAGAGAGAGAGAGAGAGAGAGAGAGAGAGAGAGAGAAGGCTGGAGATGTAGCTGAGTGGTAAAACGCTCCTGTGCTCAATCACTAGTGGTACAGAGGGAAAAAAAAATCTCAGATTTCTTCTAGGCTTCAAACTCCTGGAAGAAGGAGAGGCTAAATCTGAAGGCCCCTAGATAGCTAAGCAGGAAAGGGAGTGAAATAAAGACCGTTACTCCACAGTTCTCTGCTTATCTGGTCCCTAGAAAATAAATGAAGCTTAGATCCTCCAGGTAAGAGACTGGAAGACTTACAGATTCTATATTTTGGGGACCTCTAACAAAATGGTGAAGGCTCCATCCAACTGCCCACTGTAAGCCCATCGTTCAATAAGTTTGGCCTGTCCACACAGACTTGACAGCTCCACTCCAAATATGAGCAGGCAGACAGGAATCATCAGAATGACAGAGACCAAAATAGACAAGAAGGCTCCTAGGAGAAAGGAGCCAAGGAACCATAGAAAGCAGAGAAGGAAACCATTGAAAACAACCTACATAATTAACATTTCTAAGAAGACAAGAAAAAGCATTGTATCTGTGACAAAAATAAAAGTAGAATGCTATAAATCTGGAACTTTCAAATAGGAAAGAATACTTGGCAATTAAAATTCTAGAAGAAAAACCTTTAATAAAAGAGAACATAAAGCTGAAGGAATATGTCAATATGTCAGGTAATAGAACACAAATACAAAGATATATACATACACACACACACACACACACACACATTTATATTTATATTCAGGTAAGACTGCAAGTCACATCATCATAAAGTGTTAGAACATCATGGGTTAAGAGTACTTACCAAAAAAATACTCCTAAAAAACAAAAATTTTTAAAAAATCTTAAAAGCTTCCAGAAGAAAATAAGTCACCTACAAAGAATAAGACATGAGAATTGTCATTATCTCGATCACTACAGTGGAAGCTATAAGAGAGTACCTCCAAATGTGAGGAAAAAAAAATATTTCCAATCTAGAACTCCAGTCCCAATCAAACTATCGATCAAATGCAAACCGTAGATTAAGGGCACTTTAAGACATAAAAATGCCTCAAAAATTTATTTATTATGACTTTTTCCCTCAGGAAATGATTGAAGGAAGAACTTCAGCAAGATGAAGGAATATTAAGAAAGGAATACAGCAAGGATTTGGGAAATGAAATTTACCACAAAAGACTGGCAAGGGACTGGGGATATAGCTTAGTTGGTAGAATGCTTGCCTCACATGCACGAGGCACAAGGCCCTGGGTTCAATCCCTAGCACCAAAAAAAAAAAAAAGACTGGCAAGGTAGCTGAGTGCAGTGGAGCAAACCTGTAATCCCAGCAACCTTGGGGGCTGAGGCAGGAGAATTACACGTTCAAAGCCAGCTTCAGCAACTTAGCAAGATCCTTAGCAACTTAGCAAGACCCTAAGCAACTCAGTGAAACCCTGTGTCAAAATAAAACATCAAAAGGGCTGGGGATGTGGCTCAGTGATTAAGCATCCTGGGTTCAATTCCTGCTACCAAAAAAAGAGAGAGAGAGAGGGAGAGAGAGAGAGAGAGAGAGAGAGAGAGAGAGAGAGAGAGAGAGAGAGAAAGAGACTAGCAAAGTGAAGTTCTAGCAGAGGAGCTACACAGAGGCTCAAAAAACAATGAGGATGTCTTAGAGCAGGCTCTGGACATGATGTATTCAAGAAAAAATTATTTTGATATATTTGACTGATGTATTTGAGAGGATATCAAAAATCTGTCAAGAATAAAGAGTTAGAAAAATGGAAAGTAAAGATGGCACCCTCTACTCAACTGTAATCAATATTTTTACAGTCCTAGTAAATAAAAGTAAATATTAATTTTACCAAAAATTGTGATATTAGCAGGTACCCACCAATATGACTAACATTGGCTGCTGATCTTGGCAGGTGCTTATTCTTCATGGTCAGCTACACTCTAATTGGTCAGTGTCAAAGTCATATTGATTGTTAAATACTTTGAATATCACCACTGGATATAACTATTTCAGAGGATGGAGAGATAAAAGATGTCATAGGACATCTGTGGTGGATGCTATAAACTCCCTGCCTGATATCCATCTCATTTTCTGCTCTGATTGGATTCAAGGCAGCCCTGTGGCCAACTAAAAATAATCACTTCCCCAAGATGCCCTTTAGCTGTTTCTGGCTAAAGAAATATCAGAAAGATCTGGGAAGAGTCCCTTCCTAGATAAAGTCTCTACAAAAGAAAGTCCCTTTGCTTTTCCTTCTTTCTTTCCAGATAGCATTTATAGATTCAGCAAATCAAAATAGTTTGCCCAGTTGAATTTGAATTTCAGATAAATGACGATTTTTCATGTAAGTTATGTCCCATGCAATTTTTAGGCTCTATTTGTACTAAAAAAAATTCATTGACAGCTGAAATTTAATTATAACTAGGCAAACTATGTTTTATCTGGCAAACTATTCCTGGAGTGTAGAGAATGAAGGTCATAAGCTAACTACAAATTCACAGGGAGGAAGAAGTCAGGTTCTTAATGTCTTCATACTACCAGTGCCGGATATCCTGTACTTCAACATCTTGTTATGGAGAACAATGAAACCATTTACCTGTTTAAACTACTAACTATCTTTTGTCATTCAACCACATATGAGTCATATTGTTAAGGGACAGATAGATGAGGATGGTGGGAACACTAGGTTAAGAGAAAAATTCTATAAAATGGACCCACTGTGCTGACCCCCACACGCTTTCTTTGCCAAAAAGCAATTTGCCTGCAGCCCTGCCTGGCCTAAGTGGAAAGGATATGTCTGATTCCTCAGCAAACTACCTGTTATCTGCAAGGAAATGCAGACATGAAATAACATTGATAAGAGGAAGTTAGTTGAATGGAGAGACTTTTGTGACCCTTTGCACAGACCAGATTCTGGAAGATAAGGATAGTTCCTCCTAACCATAAAATCTATAAGAATGTATGATTAAGAAGCCAATTAGATGGTTCAGCATGGGCTAAGGGGACCTAGACATGCCATGACATTGGGGACTTGAAAGTCTGATGTCACCTTGCTGTCAGTCAAAAGTCAAGAGGTGGACCTGGGCAGGACTCTCTGGAAGATTCTCTAGGATCTTCATAAAACTGGAATATAGGAGAGACACATCATTTCTCTCCTCTCTGAGAGGACCCACTTTCCCCCTTGAGAATTTCCTTTTCCCTTTTCCCAGCCCTTCAATAAAGCATGCTTATTACTCCAAGCAATATGTCTGAAATCTTTCTGACTTGGTCGCAAGAATCGGGGTTTAAATAGGGGGATCTTCAAACTGCCTCAGTTTCTCAAAAGGCTTTAGCTCTGGA